CATGGAGCCTTTAAGGTGCATTAAAAAGAGCTCTGAGCCCCAGATGTCACCAGATGTTGTGCCTTTTTAAAATGACTGCTGACTGTGTAAGATGTTTATGAACATCATCATATGAGTTGTACGACCACAACCTGTTCCAGGGAATGCAACCTGCCTGCATTAAATTTGCACTAAATCGATATTTTCATGGAACCAACGACTTTGTGAAAGAACCCTTTTAGTCTCTTTGTTTTGCTTTTGGTTTATATTCCACCAACTGCTTTTTATCTGCTTATAAGTCCTGAGAGTCAAAGAACCCGTCTGGTGCCAATGACATTTTATTTGCCACGTTCATGTGTCCGTGTGGTGTTTTTATACGGTGGAAGACACGTGATGAGCCGAGTCGAGCAGCTGGAGCACTGCTGCCGTGGTAACTGTGGTGGTCCAGAGACTTTATTTACAGATGTGATATTTTCATACGGTTGCTTTGTTTTCTATGTTGTTTTCTTTGTAAACAGATGTGTGCAAATGGAACAAAGGTGTTGTCTTCTTGGTCCCATTTTCTCAATAAAGATTGTACAGAAAGGTTTCTAATGTGAAGTTTGTGCTGAATGGTTAAAAGTCGTGTTGATCTTGATTTACTCTCACTGAGCAGGAGCAACTGTGCACTCAAACTCTGAGGTACTAATGAATAATATTACTGAATATTCATTGAGCACCACTAAATATCGCTGCCAGTGTTTATATCAAGATCAGAAACGTAGGCCGCGTTTGCCGGGTAGTGAGCTCACCTGATCTTACTGTAGCTTTGTCCACAACTCTTGTCATGTTATTTTCTATAATAATGTTTTGGAAAGACTGGCTGAATATGAGTAAGCTTCATGCTAATCTAAAGCTACATCTGAATAAAACGGATAATCGCAAAACCAAATAGAACCAAATTGGGAGAGAAGTAAAGTCTAAGATAAAAGCAGCTCGTACAGACTCCAAACCATTGAGGACGAACTCTGAGAGCGCGTCGGCCTCTCTGGGATCGATAAAGTCTTTCTGATTCTGGTCGTAAACCTGCTCTGACTCAAGCTGCTCACAGCCAACAAAGTTTAGGACTTAATTTGGTAAAAACAGAGTTAAAGTCAAGTCAGACTGGACACTGACGCAGCAGGAGAAGAGCTGCTCCTTTATTATGACTTCAACACACACTGACACAATAACACACACTGACACAATAACACACACTGACACATTCTAACATACCAACACAGACACACTAACACTCCCTAAGGAGTGATTTTCCTCTTTAGACAGGGTTCCTTACTCTAACACACACAAACACACTAACACAGACACACACTAACATACACACACTAACACACTAGCACAGACACATTAACATACACACACAAACACACACACACACACACACACACACACACACACACACACACACACAGACCAGAAACACTAACACTCCCTAAGGAGTGATTTTCCTCTTTAGACAGGGTTCCTTACTCTAACACACACTAACACAGACACACTCTAACACACACTAACACAGACACACTCTAACACACACTAACACACGCTAGCACACACATATGCACACTTCTCTCGGTAGACAAGGTTCCTTAAACTAATACACACTTCTAACACACATTTACACAGACACACACTAACTCTAACACACTCAAACAGACACACAAACATACACTAACATTAACACAGACTCACACAGAAACACACCAACACTAACACACTCGCACTCACAGACACTTTAACACTAACACACACAAATGCTAACTCACACAGACACACACTAACACACACACAGACACACAGTAGCACACACTCTAACACACACAGACTCACACAGACACACAGACTCACA